CATACATACATACATACATACATACATACATACATACATACATACATACATACATACATATATATATAGTACGTCTCTCCAGCGGATTTGTAGCCCCGACAACATCTTATAGATCGACTACTTTTGGTGACAGACTTTGCTAGTGCCTATCTATAAATGTGCTATAACATATCAATTGATTAGTGATTTGATTTATTTAGAATACCACAAATGATCATGTGTTGTTCCTTTCGTATTCTCTGTGATAGCAAATACTTCTACTACTTTTCCCCCTATTGAGTAGATAGCGATACATGAGGCATTAGTCAGCATCTCTAATAGCATTTTACATAAAACCTTCGAGTATTCAGAATGCTGCATTTCCGTCTGTGTTTTCGACGTTGTTGTTTGGAGCTAGACACAGAGATTGAAGATTTTGAAATAATTCTTTCTAATCCGAATTGGCCATCTTGTCACTTCCACACTTATGGGTTCTACACTTCACACAGTCTCTCATCCGTCACGAAAACTCCTTCACTACTTCACCTAAAAGTCCAACCTGAAAGCCGTATCTTTGATAATTACATTCGCAACAGATCTGCCAAATGATGGCAAAACAACCAAATCTACACATACTGTCTTTCATGTTTCGTTCTCATTCTTCATACCATCCTTCGGTCAGTCTGTTTGTATGCGTCTTTACTGAACATATCCTTTACCGACAAGATTCACGCGAAGCGGAGTCAACATTTGGCTCATGATTTGCTGGGAATTCGGGTTCAGTCCTGTTCCAACTGTCGGTTTATTATCCTTTCCAGCGGGACGGAATTATGAAGACGTTGACACAAACAATGCTGTATGCTTGGGTTGGTGGAGTCGGCCAAGTGGCATAAGCTGCATTTAGGCCAAGTCAACAGAGGCACGCTTACCCTTTAAAAACACCACTTCCTCCGCACGACTTTCAGTTGAGTTGGCCAGCGATTTTGGCAAATTCATGCTCTTTTTTCTCATTCATATGTGCTGCTCCGAGTCTGTCCTGCTCCCCAGGTGGATGGGCAAGACAAAGAGTGTCCCGGTGGACGCGTCGAGATGGAGCGAAGGTGAGTTGGACGAGAATGTCAACTGAAATGGGTATAGTCTGGCTGACATTGGGCAAAATCTGTCGCCCAGTATTTTCATCCTGAGCCAACTGGTACGAGAAGTAGGCGATTGTAGGTGAGTTAACTTCCGTCTCGAGTGAATGTGAGTGTGAGGAAGAGATTCTGATGTCGATAGCATCAAAATACGAGGATGGATTGTTCTTGGCCAATTATTCCCGAAGAAATCAGCTTCGATTCAGGCCCAAACCTGTTAAACTTTCGTTCGTCATATCACGGAGAGCATCAAATGAGACTAGTATTCTTACATGAATCGCTTACAAGTAAATCTTCGAGACCACAACTAGATCATATCAATGGAGTCTATTTACCCAATTTGATCTAAGGTGGTGAAAGATTGGTAGTTGAATTATTCCCATAATGATGTGGATAGGTCTTACGTTGCCATTTAATTTCACACTGTCTTACTTTCCTAACGGTATTTTCACCCAGTCAGAAGTAAGCTACGGTTTCGATGTTGCCACCAGCGGGACTCGAAATGTGCTAGTTCACCTCAACCAGTTCGGGCGAGGTCGAGTCTACAGTCTTCTTGTGAATGGATAATAATATCTTTCGGGAAGCAAGGTGAAATTATATGTAAACATGAGGTCTACCCATGTCATTGTGAGAAATATTGAACTACCAGTCCTTAAAAGAATTAGGATAAATACATTTTATAGGATCCTTACAATGGCAAAGAGGCTAACCGGTCAGTAAATTTCACCAAATTATCCATCCCTAAATCTATGCACTTTGATGAAGCATATTGTGATTTAGTTAGCGGAATCACTTTATGACTCATCAAAAAGCATAGAGATGAGGTATATAAAAAGAACTTAAGGGCATGAAGGTGGGTCTTCTTGACTCTTTAACTTCATTGTGATTATAAAAATGATAAAATATGCGAAGAAAAGTCGGGTTTAGAGAAATATCTTGTTTCATAATTGTTGAGCCTACTTCCATTTCGAGTGAAAGCCTTTGGTC